GGGAGGCGTGTGGAGCGGGAGGATGCGCCAGGCGGCCGACGTGCTCATTAAGTAGCAACGGTAACTCTCTAACCCCGTCCTTGCATCCTCACAGCTGAGACATCTCCTCCGTGGTGCTGCCATGGCTGTGTGACGCTTCTGTTGCTGCGTGAATGATGCTGGAGTGATGGAGAGTGCAGGAGTGTGTGTGTGTGTACACTCCCTTAGAGGGAGGTGACTACAAGGAGGGAGAGAGAGAGGGAGAGAGAAAGAGAGCAGCAGGTAATCTCAGAGTGCCGCTCCCTTTCGTCACTCCTCCACAGTGTTTGCTCAATCAGAATTCCTTGCTCGATCTTTAAGGAGAAGGAAAAGACGCTCTTCTTCACCCTTGTTGCTCAATAATGAATAACCTACTTTGTCAGATGTCTCTTTTCACTAAATTTGTAGCTAATAAAAACTCATTACATATATCTCTTTTGTATCTCTCTCCTTAGCTATAAATGTCAGTTCCTAGAAAGTCTGATGAAAGTATTTCCAAGGCAAGGCAATTTTTTTGCTTGGCACATTTCAATACAATACATTTCAAACATCAAACAGGGAATAAAATCAATTAAAATAGTATGAGTGTCTGTTTCAGTGGCTCTACTGTGCAGAAATAAGTTGTCCCAATGTTACTAACGGAAATGAAAGTACAGTAGAAATATTCATTTATTTAAAGAACAAAAGGTCAGCAGTTTAGTATTGCTTTAGTAAAAGCTGGGAAACTTGCAAGTACGGCTGCTAACTAACTAGTTCATTATCGATTATTCTCCCAATTTCTTTCCCGATTCGTTTAGTCGATGAATTGTCAATTGTCGAAATCACAGAGTCCAAATCTTTGGATTGGTTGATCCAAAACCAACATATGTAAAACACTGCAAACCCTCACAATTGATGGAACCAGCAGATGCTTTCTGGTGTACATTTGTAGACTCCAAGCCCAAACACGTAAGTAAACTGACCTTCATGTGTAAAATTAGTAGAATGCCCTTTTAAAAGATGCTAACTATGTAAATCCAACATCCCAGGTTTAAGTTTGGCCAGTGACTTTTGTTGCATGTCATCCCCTTTCTCTCCCTCCTCTGTCACCCCTATACTGCGTCCCGTCTGATAAAGCAAAAGCAAAAGCAAATTTTAGAAACAAAAAAGGTTATTCCAATTCGTTCAAAAGTTGAATAAAGAGTGAAGACTAGATGTTCGCCACTAGACAAGCACGACGAAATAATATTTCCACTTAATGTTATAATCTCTGGCGGTCCCTGTCAAACCATCTGTCCTCTGTGAAGTTCGATCTGACTCTCCTCAGACTAAGAACCTTTCAAGTAAAAGAAAAGAGATGTGACCTGCACTCAAAATTAGATCGGCTAGATTGTTTGGCACAATGCCCAAAACCCATTCAACCGTTCACATGGCTTCAGCTGGACGGCAGTGGTTATCACTCCAAGGCAAACAGAGGCATTATGTAATGTAACATTAGCACTAGAGGCTAGGAGAGGCTAAGAGGTCGATAAGAGGACGGGGGTGAAAAAAGCTGGCCACTGTCAACTGGCCTTCACATGGTCAAACAGGGATGAACCGAGGGGGCTGATCGATCGTTGTTATTGCACAAACGTGCAACGCTGCATGCCAGTTGTAAAGTATTCAGGTCATCATGACTATTTATCCCTCTACCTGTAATGATTAAATGTTAGTAAGGTCAGATTTTTCAGGTTAACAGGACCAAGTTGCAACCAGTAAGTTCTCTGCTAAATTAAGGTGTAAAGTCGACACTAAAGGCTTTCTAACTAACTAGTTAATTTGTAACTTAAGCTACTAAAATCGGTTGCAACACAATTACTTAAACATAAACTAACTAGTTTAGACATAATAATTAAGGGAAGTGGCCAATTTTTATCTTCAACCTTAAACCTACGATAAGCAGTTTTTAACTGGTTATGAAACAGTCTAAATTTAACACTGATGTCTTTCTATGACCTAGATAAGCCAACGAGACCATCAGTATGAAGATTGGATTTTCTATGTAGTTATTCTTAATGCCTGCCACTGGGTCAGATTCCCGTTGAAATCAATGAAATGAGGCAGTGGAAACACTACCGCTTTTGTCCACAGGGGCCGTCAGAATCAACAGAAAATGAAATGAAATTATGTTTGTTTAACTGTTGGATTATTGTCCTTTGCTTTCATTGTGTGTACACAGGGCACTCATAAAAAGAGAGTGAGCTGCACTCATTGGACCTCCCTGTTTAGATCAAGGTTGAATGAATGATCTAAGTAAAGGTAGCGATGCTACAATTAAAAAAGTTTTTACATGAAGCATCTAAACACTTAATTTTACAGCTTAAAGTCTCCCTCCTCTTAAAAATATGTTTGTCCTCTAGTTGCTACAGTGTGATGTTTGAATGATGTATGTGTAGAGTTTGACACTAGAAAGATGTTTTCACATTCATCTGCTGAAAGTGGAAAGTTTCTCTGTGCTCACTGAAAATCTGATTTTAAAGGGGCGGTCACAGCATTATCTGTGACTTCACATACTTTTATTCAAACAAAGTTAGAAAAAAATAAAATCTGTATCATCAGGATTATGAGGGTGTGGCTTGATCCAATGTTGTTTAAAATTTGATACATCGAATTTTAACCACTGTAAACTGTTGATCCTTTATGGCAGTACATCATATTTTGTAATCTCAGAAGGGTTCCAGCTAAAAATTGTACCTGAATGCCTGAGAAAATGTGCTTACCAACCAGACACACTCACAGATGCACACAACCACACACGTATACTACTGATAAAACCGGCCACAAACACATCTCCCCCAAATACACAACAGAGTCCAACGGTCACACACTGTCTCTGAGATAAGAAACACAAACTGATACAGATGTGGGAAGTGGCTGGCTCATCGAAGGCAGACATAGCAATCTTTTGGGATAATTCATTAATACTTACACACCTAACCCTAATATCTATAGTCAATTAGCATTCATATGTAAAAATTAAAAAGCAGAATAGAACAGATTGTACAGATACTGGAATTATGTGAGTTTAATATAATCTAACAAAACCAGGCACACGCACTATTCCAATTTAGTGTTTAATAGCCGGTATGGCTGTGCCAAAGGTGTGTCAAAAGATATCAAGCAGACAGGGGAGTGACTGGCCGATGCCCCCATGTATCTACTACTCTATATCAAAGCAGACAGACAGCTTTGATTTACTGCTGGCGGCAGAGGCTTCACTTGTTTTTACACACTATATTTCCTTTCTTCCAGCTCTTGGCTCTGGATTAAACCTTGGCATTTCCAGTGTGTGTTGTGACAATTATCAATAAGGACAGGGCATGAGTCCTAAAAGCTTGTGACTCCTTCCAAAAGAGCTCCAACCATAAGACTTGCTCTCTAATCACAGATCACACGGCCACAGACTAATAGCTGGCTGCTGTGAGAAAATAGGCCAAAGCCTTTGACACTAGAGACACAGTAACCTTCCCTTCCTCACTTTGTCATTCCTGATTAGCCGTCTGACTGTGTTTTGACTGTGAAACACCTGGTTTCAGTGCCAAATCCTGAGTTCCAGTTTGGGGCCCAAAATGCTGTAATAAAGGGTTTAGGCTTTTTGTACTTGAGCGCTGTACTATAGGCTTTCAATGGTCAAGTGTTCAACAACTGAGCAAACAGTGCAGTCCCATTTAAGTATATACTTAACTGAACAGGTGCAGCTGGGGATTGAATAAGTCATCTGGAGCTATTGAAGTCCAGTGTACACAGAAACCTCCATTAAAGACAGATTAATTTACCTCCATTAAAGACAGATTAATTTACTCATTCAGAGAGCAAATAAATGTCTAAAAGAGTGATCAGGGCAACACCTTCCTACTGCAGAAATAAAACCCTTCTGCATCACTTTTTATGGCACTAAAGCTGAGGAACACTGGTAAATGGTCAAGGTTTTTTTTTTCAATTTGTTATTAATTTGCATGTTGTTGTATGCTCTGGTTTTGTTGATTTACTGTGCAAATGAGGAGCCACGCCTGTCCGGTAACCCACAGGCCAGTCAGTGAAAACATTCAAAACATTTCCAAATCATATTGTATGTGCAATTTATATGAATAAACACGGAATTTAAGGGGACATATGGAAATATGGCAGCAAAGAAAAAAGTTTAACGATTAATATAATGGAAACATAATAAATACATTTTCCCTGCTTCCAATGAGCTTCATTGTAAATTGTAAGGTCAGTTTTAAACTCTAACATCTTCAATAAAAGCACCTGGGGACAATAAAAGTGTCACTGCTGTTGACTGTAATGACATGCAGATGCAACGTCTTTGACAATATAAATTTGTGTCAAAAGATCAGTGGTGGAATAAGTATTCAGATCCATCACTTTAGTAAAAGTACTAATACACACTGTGAAAGTCCTTTATTCAAAACCTTACTTAAGGTTGTGCTCATTTTAACTTCATTACTGTTAATCTACAGCAGTGCATCATATTCACTCAAATCATCATATGTTTGTAGCTTCGCCATCCTGTGAGAACCACAAATCTCTATAAAGTCAACTTTTTGTGAGCTCAGAAAAACACCCTGGTTTCAGCTTTGTGACGATGTATTTTTCAGCTAATCCAAGATGGGTTTTTATAATGTATTAAGCTTAAGAAGTAGGAGAATTTTCTCAACCCGTAATAGGAACACTAAACCCTTCAGTTTATCAAATCACCAAATACATGGAGGATTTACACGGTTTTTACTGGACAGAAAAGTATGAAAAAAAATTAAATCTGAAAAGTAACTAGTAACTAAAGCTGTCACACAAAAGTGAAATATTTGCCTCAGAGATGTTAGAAAGTTCACTAGCACCACAGTACCACAT